CATAGCAACACGATAGGACAGAGCAGAACTGCCCCATGGGGTATCCAAGGAGCAGATGGTAGATTCAAACTGCCCAGCTTTTGGTCAGCAGCTGAGCTCTTAACCACTGTGCCACCAGGGCTCCGTGAAGGTGTTTTCATATAATGAAATGTACGCCTGGGCAGGTTTTATAATTTGATCAAATAATGGAGCTGGGATCTGAACCTATTTCTGAATCTGCCTCAGAAATCCAGGCTATTTCAAACATTCTAGCATGGAAGAGACATTTATCTCTATTCTAGGAATAAATCCTAACATAGACAACATAACTGTGTATATGACTAAGTACTAAAAATGGTGAGGACAGAAATTATTTAATAAATACTGTTAGGATAATTGGAGCCCTGGTGGTGCAGTGGTTAAGAGCTTAGGTTGTCTGCTAACCAAAAGGTCAGCAGTTGGAATCCACCAGCTGCTCCTTGGAAACCTGTGGGGCAGTTCTACTTTTTTCTGTAGGGTCGCTATGGGTCAGAATTGACTCTATGGCAGTGGGTTTGGTTTTTTTTTTGTTGTTGTTGCTGTTGGAATAATTAGATATAAAATGGAAAAAAAAAACCTAGGCCCACATCTTACTTTGGATAGATAGGAAGAATTAAATATAAGCCAGTAGATCATTGTAATGAAGATGAACCATGATAATATTATCTCTTTTATATTGTTGAGATAGTATCTATAGACTGTTGAAGCATTGGAAAAATTACAAAGGAAAAGATACCCTGAATAATTTCAGAAAAATAATTTAAACTCCTGTGGTATCATAGCCATAAAAACTTAAAATATATATATAAGTCTTTGTAATCAATATGGCTCATACAATTTAATGTTAAAACATATAAAACGCCTTGTAGTTATCTGTAAGAAAACTAAGTTCCCAGGAGTAAAATTTCCAAAGGACAGATAATTTAAGAATTAATATTTGAGGAAAATGTTTATCCTTGATCATTTAGGACATGTGAATTAAAACAGCTGTTGTCTTGTTCCTGCATTACATTGGCAAAAATTATGTAATTCTGGAAAAACTCTAGAAAAATAGATCTATTAATATCTGGTATAGGTCCCTAGTTGGTGCAGATGTTTGACACTCATCTACTAACATAAAGTTGGCTGTTCAAACCCACCCAGCAGTATTGTGAAAGAAAGGACTGGCAATCTGTTTCTGTTAAGATTACAGCCAAGAAAACCCTGTGGAACAGTTCTGCTCTGTGACACATGGGGTCGCCATAAGTCAGAATCAACTTGAGGGCAACAGATTTGGTTTTTGGTTTGAATGTCTGGTAGCTTTGTATTTTTATAGGTTCAGTGTTTTGGGAGGTCAGCTGTCAACATATAAAATGTCCATCTTCTTTGACCTAATAATACCATTAACTTTAAATTTACCCTTTGAAAATAATCCAAAAAGGAGAAAAATATTCTTGGCAGTATTGATTATGAACATGAAGAACTGGTAATTACTTAAGCACACATGAGAAAGTATATATAAAATATCCTAAGTGGGAAAAACAAGCTTAGAAGAGGCTATAGAGGATGCAAGTAGTTGGCTTAGATGGAGTAGTTATAAGATGTATTGTTGGAAATTTTGTTTTAAGGATAGAGATTTTCCTTAAGTTTCTCTCAAAGAATTGAACCTGTTCTTAGCCATGCACTGAATTTTAGCTCAGATTACCACGGTTCTGGCACGTGAATATGAATGTGGCTGCTGAACTTGTGTGCCCAGCCCTCCAAGCAGCTATGAATGCTTGGTGCCAGCCAGCTGCCAGGACTGGTTGAGCTCCTGAGCCCCAGGAGATGGCAAACTTGATCTGCTGAGGAGGAATACAATGATGGTGGCTAACTGGGAAGCTTACCTCATCCAGCTGATTTATTTTTAGACCTGTGTGTAAGTTGGCCAGTTGTCTCAATGACTCTATTTAGGGTTCCAAATTATTTCCTCTGTGGTGTTTTTCTGATATTTTGGAGGCTTGTTTGACTTGATAACGAGAAAGAAAAGGTCAAGGGAAGGGGTGTTCCACAAGTTATGTGGGACTGTCTTTTTTTTTTTTTTTTTTTTTTTTATCAGTTTCAATTTGTAGGATGTATTGGCTACCCTGCCAGCGTTTTTTTTTGTTTGTTTGTTTGTTTGTTTTTAATTGTACTTCAGGTGAAGGTTTATATAACAAGTAGTTTCTCACGAAACAGTAGTACACATATTGTTTTATAACATTGGTTAACAACCCCACGACATGTCAACCCTCTCCCTTCTTGGCCTTTTTTTTTTCTTTTTTTGGTGAAAATATACATAACCAAAGATACACTATTTCAAAAATTTCTACACACACAGTTCACTGCCATCAACTACGCTCTTCCAGTTGTGCTGCTGTTCTCACTTTAGATGAGGGTTTACAGAACAAAATAGTTTCTCATTTAACAGTTAGTACACATTGCCCTATGACAATGGTTAACAACCTCACAACACATCAACACTAACCTTACTCAACAACATACACATATTGTAGACCCGTCAGAAAAGACCTCTGAATGAAGGTGATGAATTAACTATAGAGAAAATACACTAAGTGAGAAAGAATTATGCCTCTTGAAACTGTAAGGAATGAGTGTGCTGGCTTTTTGTTATTGGTTTTATTTTATTATGCAGTTTTCTTAGGTTGTTGGTAGTGGTAGGGGTAGTTTGGTTTAAGTTGGTTTGATTGGT